CGACAAATTTAAGTATTGCCATAAAACGTGCAGGTAACGCCGCCAGCCAGTGTAATGGGGACCACGATCCCCATGGAAGAAAATTATCATTTATTAACGAGCTCCTAGCGAGTTTATAATTTTGCGGTGTCTGTCCGTCCGTTAGCACGATATCTCGATAACTAATGGAGCGATTACGATAAAATTTTGTAGGTGGATTCTTTACGAGATTCTTTATTAAATTTGTAGATCGGAGTTCGTGAACTGGCAATGTAACCCAAAAAATAAGGAAGGGTGGAAGGCCCTTTTGACATCTCCGTGAGTTATGAACCGAATTGCATGAAATTCAATATGCGTATAGCTTTAGCCATATAAAACGCAATTCCAAAAATTGAGCCTAATCGATCAACATTCACAATGCTCTATTCGCATTTCGACCATTTATAAACCGAATTGCAAACTTTTTTATTTATGAAAGATTTCATCTTTTTTTTTTAGATTCTTTTGGAAAAAATATGAGATTATCACTAAGGAAACTATTTTTTTTGTTAAAACCGCTTAAAACAAATTGCGCTTTAATGATCGGTGGTATGTTACTGATAAGTCCTTGAACTAACGATAACCTTACCACCTTCTCAAGGGGGGCCATTTTTTCAAGAGACTTCCACTATGAGGGACAGTAATCCCTGGGGAGTTGCAGGATGTGTTGTTATTGTTCTCAGGTGTTCGACAATCTTGCATTCCCACTTCATCGGGTTCTTCTTCTCATGCAGCCACTGCTGCACCTGATGGTAAGTTCTAAATCAATGTTCTATCTGGTAGCTGCTGAAGTGGGGAGAAGCGCAGCCAACTTGAACAGTGAATGTATAGGATGCTTTGAAATAGCTTGCAAGTAACACTGGTAACGAAAACAAGCCAGATCTTCAGTGTTCTTTACTTCAAACATGATTTCATTTTTCCAGAAAATCGAAAAAATACGAAAAATGCATACTTTTACACCCTCCGTAACTCTGGAATCGTTGACTTGAGCAAGATTATACACATGACCATTTTTATTCACAATTTAATGTAGATTATTTTGGATATGGTACTTTTCTCACCAAACCCCATAGTTTTCTAAATATTTAAGAAAAACACCAAAAACTACTAATTTACCAACTTGTGTAACTTTTTACCAAACAATATGTGGACTATATACAAAGCGATCAAAAATGAGTGACCGTCGAGTCACCTTTGGAAATTTTGTTTACAAGGGAAATCGTACTTAATTTGTACTTCCAAAGGCGACTCGACAGTCACTCATTTTTGATCGCCCGATAGAACAATTTGCAGTTAATGGGAAACTTTTACTTTTGATGTTTAGGTTAAGCCGTTTTGTCGACTAATTGCACCGTACTATATTATGAATTTTTAATTTTAAAATTTCCATATTAGGTACGTACCTACGTACGGTGCAATTAGTCGACAAAACGGCTTAACCTAAACATCAAAAGTAAAAGTTTCCCATTAACTGCAAATTGTTCTATATAGTCCATATATTGTTTGGTAAAAAGTTACACAAGTTGGTAAATTAGTAGTTTTTGGTGTTTTTCTCTGTTTCTTGTGAAATTTTTCTGTTTTGTGCTCTACTCACTAAACAATTCTTTTTGTAAGTCACAGTATTAATTTCACTACCACAGTATTGCGAGCTAAATCGTTTAGAACAGAGCGCAGTGCAAAATTTGAAAATTTCAACGAACGTACCTACTCATAACCTATATAAAGTCGTTAAATCAATCAGCATATTTGTTAATTCTGCTAAAAAACAAAGAAGCAGTTCTTATATACTTATGTGTAATTTCCGTAGCTAACTAATTTTTATGGTGCAAATAAGGCATATGTATTTTATATGATTAATACACTCCATTAATATACGACCAATCAACTAGGTGATTGTTTCAAATTCTAACCAATCAGATGATTTTTTATCTGATTAAATGCTAGGTAGCTTTTTACAGCGATAAAAATGCGTGTAGGAATACGTAAAATTTGTAGTGGTTGTAAAATTTACTGTCTTTTATTAATCTCCCTAAAATACACTCGACCTTGGTCAGGATAATTTTATTTTTAATTCACTCAAATTTTGTTGCCTCCTGGAGAAAAACTCTCGATCAAAAGCATAATATTAATAAAATCGCTCCAGCTAAAACTGTCGCGATTTTATCACACCTTTGGTTTCGAGTTTTTTTTCGTTGCAACAAAACTTTCGTATAAAAATAAAATTATGCGATTAAAAATCAAGCTCTTGTGTATTTACTCTCGATAAATTATATACCTATGTACGTCACGTCGACTACTATCTAAAGGTGTTTTTTTTAACAATGCAGATTTACTAACATTCACACAATTGACGCGCCTGTAAACCCTTGATGTGACAAATAATTTACAACTTTTGCGCATTTCTAAAGGATTTAAGTAAGTTTGTACCTGCATACCTCACCGTCAGTTTACTTCGAAATGAAGGGTTACAATCTTGCTACTTTATATACAAATTTTAGTATTTTTATTGGAACTTTTTACTTTACACAGAACGATGAATCCAAAAAGTAAAGGACTTCAAATTGAAATAATTTGATTATTATTTCCGACCCTAAGAGGGACAGATTTGCACATTGGGGTTTAAAAAAGGTAAAGAGTTTGACCATCCCAGATGCGGTGTCTGTCCGTTAGCACAATAGTTCGATAACGAATGGACCGATTACGATGAAATGTTGTAGTTGGATTCTTTATCAAATTTGTAGATCGAAGTTCGTAATTGGTAATGTATCCCAAAAAATAAGTAAGGCCCTTTTGACATCTGCGTGAGTTTTGAACCGAATTGCATAAAATTCAATATTTGTATAGCTTAAGCTATATAACACGCAATTCCAAAAATTGAGCCTAATCTATCAACATTCACATCGACGTGTAAATAAATATAGAAAACGAGCTCCTGGGTAAGGCTACAGCATGTGCAAAACCGAATTTTGAACTTGGTGTTAGTTTTGCTTTTATTTAATGTGTATATGTATGAAATTTCATTTAATTGCTTCCATAAATAAGAAAATTGGCACCACACATCATGCACAAAACCAAATTTTGAAACTGGCGTTAAATTTGCTTTTATTCCAAGTGGCTATATGTATCAAATTTCTTTTAAATGCTTCCATAAATAAGAAAGTTTTCAATCCGGTTTGTAAATGGTCGAGATGCGAAAAGAGCACTGTGAATGTTGATCGATTAGGCTCAACTTTTGGAATTGCATTTTATATGGCTAAAGCTATACACATACTGAATTTCATAAAATTCGGTTCATAACTCACAGAGATGTCAAAAGTGCTTACTTTATTTTTTGGTCTACATTGCCAATTCACGAACTCCGATCTACAAATTTGATAAAGAATCCATCTACAGAATTTCATCGTAAACGGTCAATTCGTTATCGTTATCAAGATATCGTGCTAACGGACAGACGGACAGACACCGCAAAATTATAAACTCGCTAGGATTTATAATTGCGCTAGGTTAACTTGAGCGCTAGGTCTACAGAACAGAAAACATCAAATTTTTACCCGAAAAGACAAAATGGTGATGCCCCCTCCCCCCACACTATTGGAGGGTGATGGCAGCTCTAAAATTTGTGGCGCTAGCTGGCGCTAGGTCAGCAGAACACAAAAAGTCAAAATTTTACCCGAAAAAACAAAATGGTGGTGCTAGGAAGAAATGCCCCCCGCACTATTGGGGGGTGGCGCTAGCTCTAAAATTTGTGGCCTCTGACGAACACAGCGCTTGCTTTTGGAAATGATCGGACGCAATGGTAGTGCTAGCGTTAATATAGCACCCCCCGAAAGTCAAAAGCTTCTTTGTAAAATCTATAATGGCGCTATCTGAACTCAAAGTGGCGCTAGCTGGCGCTAGGTCAGCAGAACACAACACGTCAAAATTTTACATGAAAAGACAAAATGGTGGTGCTAGGAAAAATTGCTCCCCTCACTATTGGGGGGTGGCGCTAGCTCTAAAATTTGTGGCGCTAGGTCTGACGAACACAGCGCTTGCTTTTGGAAATGATCGGACGCAATGGTGGTGCTAGCGTTAACATAGCACCCCCCGAAAATCAAGGGCTTTTCTGCAAAATCTATTATGGCGCTAGCTGAACTCAAAGTGGCGCTAGCTGGCGCTAGCCATAGAGATTCTAGCGCAATCTGTCTTTAGTCAAAAATTTGAAATGGTGGTGCTAAGTTAACGGAGCCTATATAAACAGGTTGCCAATGGTTAGTGGTTTATTCACATAGAAAATCATTAAAACTAAACCAGGGTTGAAGCTCTGTAAACAGAAAAAACTTTGAAAAAAAACTATTATTCATGGCAGAAGCCGTCGCAAGCGTACAGGGGAGAGCAAGGCATGTTTTGTTTGATGCATCTACATCTTCCTTCAGTGCAGCCTTTTTTTGCAGCCGCACTTTATGAAAAGTCGAACCCCAGTCGGACGGATCTGGCAATAACTGCTGAACCTGCAACGCGATTCGAACTAAGAAAGTTTTGCATTGCTTTAAAAACAAGACGTGCCTTGTTGGATGGATCTTGCAAATATCTCCGTTTTTCTTGATGAAGAGGCATTTTCTGCATTCATTGACGTCTTTTTCTTACGATGATCTGTCGTAGGTACATTTTCGCAACAAATAAAGCAAGGTTAGGTTACTTTATTACCTTGCTGATAAATAATTCTAGAGGCAAAACATTGACCTCCGCGCCTGTGTTAACTTAAGTGCAATAGAATTACCTTCAATTAGTACACTCTGCATCCATACCGTTTCATCATTTAGATTGATCATGCTAATACATTTAGTAACAGAGCTTACATAAAATTCATTTAGCGTCTCTTCTTCTTCTTCGGCTTTAACATCATGAATTTGTTTCTTTTCCTCCTTGAATTTTTTGCAGACTGCAGTAATAGTACTCGTACTTTGTGTACCAGAAGATACCACTTCCTGAGGCCCGGAAAACAACTTTCGTGCCGTGGTGCACACAATATTTTGTATCCTATACACTTACAATTAAAGTGATGCACGTATGCCTAGATCATATTAAATATTCCATAGAATTAGCCTACAGCCACTAAATGTGTTCCAACATATGTGAATGTGAGAGAGATAGCCAATAAGCCAACAACGAGGCCAACAATAGCCGATCGCGAACTGAAATTGACATTCCCGGCATTTCATGGCGTGCGGCGTATTATAAGTGATTTTTTTGTTACACTTGCCACGGGTCTTTCCATATGCGAGACACTGCCCTTTTGCATGTTTGCCCCGACCGAAAAACCCTGATATAGTGAGTGTCACAACCTGTAATGGCGTAAAACACCGGAGGGGCAGCAGCTCTTGATGGACCTGACAGGAATCGAATTTGTATTTATAACATATAAACAGTTAAAAGCAAACAAAAGCTTTTGTGAAAAAGCTACTCACCTAAGTATGTTGCAATCGAGTGCACAGACACATATTGCTGGTTAATACATTGTACTAACACTAGACCACTCTTTAAGATTTAAAAAACAAGTATCTGAAATGATTACAAAAGCATACGTGAAACTTAAACTAATTTTTAATAATCGTCATCTTTTTAATCAAAACACAAAAATTCTGCTATGTGACTCTTTGGTGCTGACACAATTCAATTATTGTGACAGTGTTTATGGACCTTGTCTAGACATTTCTGATAGGAATAAAATTCAGCGTATGCAAAATTCATGTGTAAGGTTAATTTATGGAATCCGGAAGTATGAACATATCTCCCACAAATTTAATGAATTACGCTGGTTGAATATGGAAAATCGGAGATATCTTCATGCTGCCCTACTACTCCATAAAGCAGTGGCGGCTCGTGAGCTGCGTAGAAGGTAGTGCCAAATTGTGTCCCCCTCCCCATTATTTTAATAGTTACAAATTTTTGTTTTCCTATTCCAGTTATTTAGATTTTGAGTATAATTCGAATATTTATAATGCGTGACGGAAACAAATCTAGCCCCTTTAATTTCTTTGGAGACTTGTTTCATAAGTATACTTCAAGTATGCATTCCAGTAATTCATTTCGTGTTGTTTTAGATGAGAATTAGCGGATTTTTTTTTGACAAACAATCGTATGGAAAGTGTTACCTTTTTCACGATTTGTACTATCCGTTTCCATAGCATTTAGTCCGATCTATAAACAATAGCAACATTTTATTTGCAGTTTTATTAATGAGGCCGAAGTATCATTTTCAACAATAGTTGTACAAATAAGTATTCAAATCTTTATCTAAACAAGTACTGAAATTTATTAATTCTCTCAATGTACTCCTTTATTTTCGGATTTATCGCTATTGTCGTGTCCTCTTAAAGAAGATTCAGAGGCATTTCGTTTTCTAACAATATTTAAGTCCGGTATTGCTTTATTTAAAGTCTATCTTCCAGAGATTGCATGGAAAAAGGTTTATTTAAATGATTTTTTAATTTGTGTATTTTACGTAACAATTAATCCGGGAAGTGTATGTGTAATCTTACACAGAAGTAAAAAAATTGTTTGACTTATCACGACTGAAACAAGGAAAACGGCGCAAAGCATAGTAATACACGTACACATTATTCAATTGTGCTTATGAGCCAAACTTCTGATGGCTCAAGTTGTACGTATAAAACGCTACTTCGGTTTCGCTCCTCCCACCCCTCTACTCCCCGCGGAAGTCCACACTTATAGGAAAATACGAGCCAGCAGCCAGTTTCAGTTTGGCACGGCTCGACCGTATTTGAAGTCCACGGATAAGCACAAATGAATTTTTCTTGGTACCTAATTTATCAAATCATTTACTTTTTTTGTTTTAAGGTTTTAAAACACAATTATGTACTCTAGTGAGCACAATTAATAATAGTTAATTATATTTTAAGAATTGATAATTAGCAGGTTCCTTGAGGTGGTGCCATGGCTCCTTGGCTCTTTATAGAGAGCCGCCCCTGCCATAAAGTCATTAAGACACTTCATACCTGTATGATAAAATTAAGTTCAGCACTAATCCAAGATTGAAATATTTACTTACTCCTCCATATCATAATACAACTCTATTCGAGAGATCCTTTACGTATCAAATAACTAATTTATATAACTCTTTACCGGACTGGTACAAAAACCTGGATTCACCTCGATTTAAAAAATACATCCACAAAATGGTGCTTGACCGTCAAAATTAATAGTGTCACAATTTCATCTTTGACCCATGAACCATCGCAGTACAATTCATCATTTGATCGTTATCATAATTGTGTTTTTCATTTCGTCTGTCATTCCATTGCACAACGTCTTTGAGTTTAATTATCAATGAGAGGGCAAAGTGGAAGAACAGAACCAGGTGAATTCTCGCCTGTGCCTGAACTTTGACCCATTTAGTTACCTTTAGCATTTTCAGTTTAAATTTTAGTTTCTAAGATCTTTGGTTGAAATATTTGTTTCAAATGTGGTTTGTTTTTAATTTTATTATTGTTTTGTCTGAGGGTTAACTAAATAAAACTATTACCTATTATTATGGTCGGTGTTTCTTGTGAGAACTCAGGTCTAGCCTGGTTAACTAATCGCACGGATTAAAATCAAGTAACGATTAGTGTCTGTGTCTGTGTCTGGTGAAGTAAAAAAAAAAAAATCACACACGTACATTGGACATTTAGGGATAGTATGTATATTGTGTAAGTGGTTCTTTGGCTTTGCGTTTGGGTTGAATACGAGTGGGTTGTGATAACGTGGTGTGTTTCTGTGAAGAAGGAGTTTTGTGTTTTTTAATTGTATTTATGGTGTTTATTTGTTCCTGAGGTCGTATTTGTGAGGTTGCTTGGGTTTTTGGTGGAGATATTGCAGTATTTTGTGAGCCTGTGGTGCTGTTAAGGTTTTTGCGCTTCAGCTGTATACGAGTGGGTTGTTTCTGAGAAGAAGGAGTATTGTGTTTTTTAACTGTGCTAGGGCGTGTAACTTTATTGGATGGACCTGTCTTTGTAGTACATGTTGCGTTACTTGTATTTATGGTGTTTCTTTGTTCTTGAGGTTGTATTTGTGAGGTTGCTTGGGTTTTTGGTGGAGTATGATAACTCTACGTTGGTCTGCAATGCGTTGTTCTGTTAAATGCGCTAAATGTGGGTATTGTGTAATGAAAGCGTGATGTAGTTTACCTCTGTATGCTGTCCTGTCCGTTTCCAACTTCGTGATCTCCAGATACGTACTGAAAATGAAGCGATTCATCCCTTCGTCCCATTTCATACGTCTTTTGGAAGTTTCCTTTGCGCTGGTCCCATCCACAAGGGGTTGAGAAGCAGGCACAAAGGTATTATTATTATTATTACTACGGATATTGCTAACAGCAACACGTCCGTATCTCCAGCCCTAACTACAACTTTTCTGGAATTTTTTTTTACTGCGTCATAGAGGTGCAGCCTCATACGCGTGTCCGCACATGCTCAAAGGAATATTTTCTGCACTACTTAACAAGACGTTGAGAGCAAATGTGGTAACGACTTTGACATCACATCACCCCATGAACCAGCCATTGAGCTAACGCACCGAAGAGCGCTTCTTTATTGCTACTGTCGCTCAAGAAATTTGGCAATCCGATCGGTAAAGCGGTTTCAATTGAAAGTGAAACTTTTTTCCGTTGCTTTCCCAAATAGGTATGAGCTCCATCTTAACCCGTCAGGAAGTCATCCTCAACGACGCATTCAACCCCAATCGCCAACCGGAGTGTTCCGAAGTCCAGGAGACCTTAGTGCCAGCTCGGGACTAACGCCCCCCGGTGAGTTAGTTAATTAATTGTTGAGGATCGCGGTTAAGCAGTCGCGATGTTTGCTTACATGACCCTTGAGCGCGGAAGACGACCAGTCAGACTGAATGCTGCCATGCCAATCCCGTATGCGTAGATTAGAGAAGAATGTTTCTAATGAAAGGTGAGTTTACAGTAGATTTATCGCATCTTTATAATGAGGTCTGACCAACAATTAGCTCCCATTTAATTAACGATTTCCCTTGTTGTTATATAAAATACCCCTAATTACACTATAGACATAGGCATATACCAAATTCTACCATGGACAACCCTCCGTCGCACTTGCACGCGTTCGCCGAAGAGAAAAGGTTTGTGGCAGTCTTCGCTGGTCCATTAGAAGAAAATTGATTGAGGAGAGTTCGCGTGTTGTGTTAAGCGTTATGTATATGTCATAAGATTAATTAGTTTTCATGGGAACTCAAAAAGTACATAGACAGAGTCAATGCACCTACTCGTAACTTTGTATACGGATTAGTATAATAAGCTAAAACTAATGAGTAATGCCAAATAAGTTTAGAGGGTAACCCTCGATCGGTGGAAAGGTCAGAGGTGAAATCCCGTCCACGAACGAAACCCCAATGCTTAGTTGTATAATACTCGTATAGAATTAGACTGTGAGGAAAGAAACAAAACACAAATTCAAATATAATAAATAGTGATGGAATTCCATTGCAATTTCCTATTAAAACCTGTGCTACTCATACAGTATAGGTATGTATAGGATTTCTAATATGAATATTCGCTTATTATATTTCGCACAATAAAAGAATCGCATTAATTTAGAACAAAATGCAATATTGAAACAGCAATACGAACCACAAATATCTTTTGAGGTGGAATAATTCATAAACGTGGAAATCAAATAAAAGCAGAATGCTCCATGTAAAAAAAGGCAATTACACATCAAACAGATTGGGGAAAAATGCGGTTGGAATTCATATTGTTTTCATAACATAACGAGCCGAGGCTGAGTATTGTAACTGTGCCATATATAAACTGTCATATATCAAGAGCCAACGAGAACTAAGGGGTGCTCATCCCTTCGACTCCCTATGACATGATTGACTATGTTAATATCATTTGTCGGCAGATTTAAAAGCGAGTCAAGCACCGGTGTTAAATCTCCTCTTCAGATTATATTGTCCGAAGGAACCTTTTCGCTCATTAAAACCCGGGATTTAATATATTTCAGTTTTATTTTTATTTTCCACTTGTACTTCTCTTTCATTTGAAATTTCCAACTTAATTTAATCAGGCTTTATTAAAACGGGTCCAAGTCGAAATGATAAAACAATTTTAAATATTAATGCAAACGAGGAAAATTATGACTGCGCTTATTCCCTTTTCTGAGTTAACATTGCAATAAAACCTACCCGCTTTGCCGTTTTTTAATTTCATAAATGTATCAAGCACATACTCAGAAAAATTATAAGGTTATGAAATATTGAAATATAAGTTAAATCCGAAGTCGCCGTGATTGTTAATGTTGAAAGCACGATGTCGCGCCAGGTTTGCTTGAAACGGAGTACACATAGTACAAAACAATAAGTGTTTTTATTACAGCTGGCATCACAGAACAAAAGAATGGTGGCAAAGGAGCAAAAATGAACAATTCGAATTAAGTAAATGGAAATTGAATAAATCACTTCAAACTATTCAATATTCATTGGTATTCAAGACCGACATACATACTACGTGGGGTGGTTGCACGACCCCAAGCAACTTTTTTACCATTACTATAAAAATTTACAAAATACCGAGATATGGCATACGTTAAAATACTCGCTAAACGAAATAAATAGACTATCGAAAAGACAAATGTAAAAAGAATATTTCAAAAGATTTTTGATAAAAAATAATCTTTGGGGTCAAAAAAGACCCCAGCAGTATCCATAGATAGTCGGTTATATGACCTTTCGGGAAGTACGGATCAACTCTTGGAAAGTTACTCGCTTTAAGGCGAAATCCCTTTTTGATTTTTTTTTCGTTCTTTAGTGCACTTAAAACTAACGAATTGTTATGTGTTACAAACACACTATGGCAGTGGTTCCCAAACTTATTTCCATGGCGCCCCCTTTCTTAGGATCAAACTAAAATTGCCCACGCCCTCTTATCCCGACTAAAAAATAAAACTGCTGTTACTACAAACGTATTTATTAAAAAATTACAGAGCGAGTTTTTTTTTTCATTTTGACTATGGAGACTCGGAAACCGTAAGACATACAAAGCCGTTTAAGTGAACAAAGTTATGCAGAATTTTATGGTGATTATTTTTCCCTTTCAAAGTTTCTTGTACATAGATCTACAAATAGCGAAGCTAGCTCCATAAAAACGAAAATAGTTATTACATACAAATAAAGTAAAACATTTTATTTCATACTGCTCTATTTCTATTAAAATACCATTTTGATTAGAATGTTGTAGGTAATTACACATTAAAATAAAAGCAAAAGTCGATCACTTGATTTGTTTGATCTGACAGTAGTTTGACAAATATCAATATCAATCAATCAATCAAATATCACGTTTAGATGGATGTCAGTTGCGATTGCTAGGCAAAATTTCCAGTCTGGTAAAAATTTTCAGTCTGGTAAAATACGATTTACCAGACTCAAATCAGTCTGGGAAAGCGGCAATTACTAGATAGTATGAAATAAATGTAATTTTCGAGAATCCATTATTATTTTCAAAGATATAAAAAAATAATTTTAACAAAACTTTTTTGACGGTGCTCAAAAAATTGTTATGACCCATAAAATATTATGTTTTTCAATCTAGTCGGATATTGCAGCCATAACATCAACGGCTTTTGAGTTGGTTTTTAGTTTATTCGAGATCGCTTCTTTTATAGCACCATAATAAATTGCGCATACACTAATGTCTGGCAACATTGTACAACATCGGTGCTTTCATCAACAAAAAAGGGCGAATTTACCGAATTGTAGATACCTTCTTATTTGCGTAGGAATTGGTCAAATACAATTTTATATAAAAAAAAACCTCATATAAGTATTTAAAGGTCAATATTTGCACCAAACACATTAGGGATCTCGCGCCATCCTTAACAACGCCACCCAGTTAGGGAACCACTGCATTATGGGAATATGTTTACGGAGTATGTCAGTGCCGCAGTGCACATGCTCCGTAACTTGAAAGCTAGAAACTTTTATATCACTAGTGGAAAAATCCTGTACATTGTCAACTACATGACCCTATGTACAGGTCTACAGGGTGTCCACACTTAATTAGATCTCATAATTGTTAGAGCTATCAAAAAAGTAACATACTATTCATATGCTCTTTTTGGTTCAAACTTAAAATGGTAAAATGGAAATGAAAATATTCGTTCGCTTAAGAGATACCGGAGCATATCAAAAAATTGTCATTTTCAGAACTCTAGTTTTTCTTACTTAAAGGAGATACAGAAAAACGTTTCTTTATAATCATTTTTTAATAATCTTCCGTTTTC